ATCGACAGCTGGTCAAACTTTTGGAATATGAATCTCTTGGCGGAGCTTTTTGATCCAGAGGAGGTCGCGCTGATTAGTGCTTTGCCTTTGGGTGTCTCAACTAAGGAGGATACCCTTGGTTGGCATTTCACAAAATCAGGAAATTATACGGTTAAATCGGGTTACCATACCGCACGGATAGAGACTTCTGATGCCAACCATAAATTTTTTGACCCGGATATCAAATCTTTGAAAGCTTATGCATGGAAGGTGAAGTGTCCACCAACGCTACGACATTTTTTGTGGCAAATATTATCAGGTTGCGTATCTGTTACAGAGAATCTGAGAAAGAGAGGTATAAATTGTGACACTGGATGTGTTAGATGTGGCGCTGTGGAGGAACCAATTAATCACACACTTTTTGAATGTCATCCTGCAAGACAAATTTGGGCTCTTTCTTCAATCCCTTCGGTTACAGGGATTTTTTCTTCGGCTTCTGTTTACGCGAACTTGGATCATCTTTTCTGGAGAATTCCATCAGAGATTGATTCATCTTTATTTCCATGGATAATTTGGTATATTTGGAAAGCGAGAAACGAGAAGATTTTTGATAATGTGGATAAAGACCCATTAGAGGTTCTACATTTAGCGGAGAAAGAGGCACAAGCTTGGCAGGTTGCTTAATCTTAGCTACATATTGACAACCAAGGTTCTTTAGATACTATAACTCGAAATCGCGTGAGAGAGAGTTAAATGACCAACGATAATAGACATTAAAATTAGCATTAACTTAGGCATTGAAGTTTCATATTTTCAATTTGTAATGGTAAACTAAAACTTCCTTATTATGAAATTTTGCATTAAAATTAGCATTAACCCTTACTACGAGTTAAAAATCTTATCGATACGCGAACAAACTCCTGGAATTTAGATATGCTAAAAGTTATTGTCACTTCGGAGGACGTTCAGTTAATTAACGCTATACCCGTGGAAAGATTATCAAATCTAGATACTTTGGGATGGTATTTTACTAAATCAGATCAATATACGGTTAAATGGGGATATCATACGGCCCGTCTAAACTTTGGGACGGGGTCTAAGGTGCAAGAATTCGGACCAGACATTAAACAACTTCAAGGGTTTATTTGGAAAATAAAATGTCCGCCAAAAGTTCGACATTTTATGTGGTAAGCTTTATCTGGGTGTGTTTCGATTACCTCGAATCTGTGCAGAAGAGGTATTAATTGCGATACGAGATGCGATCGATGTGGGGCTTCCGAAGAGACAATTAACCATGCCCTTTTTGAATGTCCACATGTGCGTCAGACTTGGACTTTATCACAGATCCCAACAACACCTGATATTTTCCTATCATGTTCACTATATATAAATATGGACTATTTATTTTGGAGAACACCCTCAGAGGTCTACACAGCGATGTTTTCATGGATTATTTGGTATTTTTGGAAAGCCAGGAATGATAAGGTGTTTAATAATATGGACCCAAAGCCCAACTGATATATTAAGGTTGGCAGAAAATGAAGAGCAAGCCTGGCAGCTGGCTCAGGTGGAGATTTCGGACGATAACCTAGAAACGGTGATAACTAATTATATAATAACCAATCTCATTCTAGAGTTGAACATATCGGGCAACACGGATCAGGTTATCGATGTTTCTTAGATGGTTCTTGGAAAGAAAGCGATTGTTTTTCAGGACTAGGCTGGTTTTGTTCTTATCCAAACGAAGAAACACACGACATGGGAGCTGCAAATACTCGAAGAAGCTTGACCTCACTCCACACAAAGGTTGAAGCACTAATTTGGGCGATAAGATGTATGATCGGCCAAGACAAGAGAGAAGTAGCTTTCCTTACAGACTGCTCTGACCTGGTGAAGATGGTGTCTTCTCCGCAAGAGTGGCCAGCGTTCACGACTTATTTGGAGGCGATTCAAAGCGACAAAGAAGAGTTTGATTTTTTCTCTTTATCGTTAATTTCCCGAAATTTGATTGTGAAGACGGATAAATTGGCACGAACTGTTCGTATCTTACCTCATCTTTCGACTTATGTTAACAATTTTCCTCAACATTGGCTCATTTGAGCCAATCCAATAAAGCTGTTGACAAATAAAAAAAAAAAACTAAAACTTTCATTATTGTACTAATATATATAGACTCTTACTTACATCTTAGACTCATATTAGCTCTTATATTTTGTTCTTTAGTTTTTGTGATTGATTCAAATTGTTTAATGTTTGATGTTTAATATTTTTCTAAAATGATTGCATCAATTTTTAGTTACATGCGTTTTTTTACTCCAAATAAAATTGAAACAATTCTTAACATCTCCTCAAGAAAGAGATTTTTGTCTCACATCACAAGGTGAATAACTTTAAATGATTGAATGCATATGAAGAAAGGAGTTGACTATGAGAAGTAAAGTTGGTTGCAAGACCAAGCAAAGATCGGGCTAACGAAAAAAAAACTGGTAGGACAAAAGGTTCAAATTTTTTTTTTTCATAGATGAATTACAAAATAGAAAGTTTGAGGCAAATGTTATGGATAATCTCGAAGAATGGTGGAGAAATGATGATATGTATGTTAATCATCTCTTACCAATTGGTATTACAACTAAACCGCCAATTTTTAACATACCTCATTCTCTTACTACTATGATACAAGATACCATATAGTCATGTTACCCCGTGTATTATGTTATGGGTTAGACATTGTCGATCTAAATGATGTCAAAAAAGAAACATTCTCCTTACTATTTCAAAGCTTCTATATTTAAAAAAAATTATCACTTCAAAACCTGAAAAATAAACTATTGAAGAAAAAATTCAAAAACCATTTAGGAGATTTTTTCATATATGTCATGAGAAAAACTATTTATATAGTACTCACTTCACAAAAATATTGAAAGAATGACCTATCAATTTTCAACATTGCTACATTGGTAGGAAAAGATTATCATTATGAAACCTAGAAAGGAGATTGTCAAAGATATTATTTGTTATATATATACCATGAGAAACAATATTCAACAAGTTGTACTTATCTCACAAAAAATTCATTGTCAAAATTTAGAATTAGTGTTCTATCAACACTTAGGTAAGAGAAGTTTCTTATATAACATACATAATTTAAATAAAATAAAAAATTGAGTTATGTGTTTTGATAGACTAGAAAATATTTAGAAATGCATTGAGAAGATTTTATTTTTTTGGTAAAATTTAGAATGGCATCTAGAATAGTTTATAAATCAAAATCCAAAATAGGCTTTTTAAATTTATCGAAAATAAAACAACGGAAGTTTTTTTGTTTTTCTTATGATTAACAATGATTAGATAGAAAGTTTGCTGAAAAAAAAGATAGAAAGTTTTCTATAAAATACGTAATTTAAATGTATATTCATCTCTTGACCAAAAAAAAATATATACACCAAACCAACTAAATTATACAAAACCATAAATTATAAAATATTTAGCAAAAAAATGAACTAAAAAACCCACGCATCGCGTGGGCAACCTTCTAGTATAATATATATTATATAATTAAAACGATGCGTAAAAAGCGCATGTAATATGACACACTAAATATTTATCTTCTAAAAAAGATATGCATAGTACATAACTGTGGTATACTTTTTTTGCGGTTTATAGTTTAAAGTTTAGAGTTTAGGCTATTCTGATTTTCATATGACTAATATCATTTATCTCAACTTTTCAGTATATTTTGTAAGTGCGGATGAGGTACGATAAATTGTAGAAAGTAAACGAAACAAGAAATTTGTTAACGAGGTTCGGTTTTTCCTACTCCCCGGGACCACGTCCAGATTTCGATTCCACTAGAACAAGAAAGCAAATTACAACCAATTCGCAAACGCGTAAAACAAGCTCAACCCTCTTGATTTACCGCTCCCTTCTATAACGTGAAACCTTAAGGATAATCTCTACCCTTAACTAAACTCCCCTTGAGTCTAGATTTAATCAGGATAACCTAACCCTGAGCTAAACTCCCCTTGAGCCTAGACTTCAAAACAAAACCACTTGATCACACAAGCACAAACCCGCAAAACTAAGTTGCACACAATCTCACCGAAAACTCTCAAAGATTTCTTCTTTATGCCTCAGCTCTCTTGCTTCTCCAAGACGTCCTCAGCTCCTCCTTATATAGCCAAAACGATTTCCTAATCACCATAGGAGAAGATTTCCAATTTCCATGGGAAAAAGTACATTTCCTTTTATACTTTTCCTTTTTCTCATCAAACTCCACTTTCATCAAGTCTTCCAAATCTCTTTAAGCCCTTTTTCCTTTGTGATTCATCCTCTAAACACGCTCCAAACATATCTTCTCAAACCTTCTAGAAACCGACACACACACAAAAACAGTAGCATCTTGACTTACTTCTTGAATCATTCAGGAACTCCATCAGACAAAAACTTGTATTACTTCTTAACTCATTCAACAACTTCATCAGACTGTAGCTACATCTTCATATTTATCTAATGCAATTAATGTGAACGATTAGTCAATATGATGTGACTTGTTATACTGAAAACATATATGTATATAGTTTATTTGCCTCCCTGAACATGCATGTGAACCATCCGAAAAGCGTCTATGCGTGGAAGATGCGAGTCCGATTTATCACAACAAATAAACACCAGCCAATTAAATATATTAGTACGAGCTGTGCCGGTGTGGATAGCTCGAACGATAAATTGGTGAACTAGATAAGATAACACAAATAATGACAACCTTTATACAATAATAGTACTGCTACAAAAATGTGCGTCCCAAGCAAACCCATATGCTTTCTGGTTTTAAAATACTTGTGTGGCTTCCCTTTAGTCTTATTTCATATTGTGAATTTTTTCACATCTTGATGAGTAAACCAATTTGTTCAAACTTGAAATTTAAATTTTTTTTCGATTTAAAAATTAGATGATATTCCTATCAAAAAAGAAAAATTAGATGATACAAGTGAATAGTAACCCAAAATTAAGAGACAAAGATCGACACAAGTAAACATCTTTTTTTTTATTGGATAGCTGACACAAGTAAACATCTTTTTTTTTATTGGATAGCTGACACAAGTAAACATCTGTGGAAACGATATTTATTAATCTATTAGAGACTCACCAGTCACCACACTATATATTGAGTACATACATGGCCTAGCTAGATATCTAAATTACCTTACTCTCTTTTCTTTTTCCTCCTGAATTACAATTATGTACTAATAGGAGACAATCACGCAGCAGGAGCATAATCGTAGCCACTGTCATCGTCATCACCACCATTTTCTCCATATGCCACTCGAGAACTATCCACCACATCTTCAACATACACCGCGGAAGCACGGTCCAAACTCTTGATGGCCAAGTTTGCGACAAAAGACATCATTGATTTTTTTTGTTGGTTATGAAAGCAATGAAGAGGTGTAAAGAGAAAGCCACAAGAAGTGTGATGAGCTTTTAGTGTTGATGTGAGTTTGGTGAATATAATAAGCGAGACTAATGAGGCTTTTATAGGTGGAAGCTAAAGGTAGATGAAGTGGGGAACACACTCTGTGGTCAGGACTGCCTTGTGGAGTTTGCGAATTGCTGATGTTGCTGTGTGTTTGGCACAATAGATATTACATTTTCCCTCACACGTAGGATTTTAATATGACACATCAGACGTTAAGTGAACTCATTGGTCCATTTATATTCCTTTGTAGTAACACATGTAAAGCATTTTCCTTTTTCACTAATATTCTTCCCCAAGCACAACAAAAGAAAAAAGAAAAGAAAGAGTTTTGGAGCTTTAATATAAGATTCTATTGGCAACATTGGCCACTTCTAAGTAATGTGATTTTGGGAAATGATTTCTCTCGTTATTTATTAATTAACAATTAGTTGTACATGTACCTTGTGACCTAGCTTGTTCATAAATTATAAGTTTTGTGATGTGCCAAATTACACAATATCGGATATATGATCCCATGTTATCTGAATACATTATTTTAAATCTTGTATTAATTATTTTTTAGCAATGGAACTTAAACTAAAAAATTCGTCATCTTGGTCAACGTTTTCGACATGTGCAGCTTGACTATTCCGTTCTTGATCATTATTAGCCATGTTGTCCCTAACGCAAGAATCACTACACGGTCATATATGTGGAGAAACAACTCAATAAGAAAACATTTTCTATGGTTAATGAACCAAAACAAAATGCTAAACTACGCAAATTGGAAGCAAGAGGGTTTATTTGTGTTTGTTGAGCGAATGGGAGATTGCCACTGGGATCATGCATTAATTATATGTGCAAAAATAAAAAAAGTTAACAAAAGTGTGAACTCAATCTATTATCAGTTGTCAACCTCCTTCAGACCATGTACATAGGTGATATTTTTAGAGTATCACAAACTCATAAATTATTTTTATATGGACAAAACAATTAGAATGGGTCTGATCAGTATCAGCGCAGTGATACTTTTGATACCATTATTATCTGACGTGGCATCTCCTGACTGGTCGCGTTTGCCAAAATCAGGAGAAAAAAAAAACATTAAACAAACATTATAAATAATACTAAAAAAAAATTTAATGATACTTTATGAGTATCACCTATGACCATGCTCAAAACAATTTCAACAATTGTTAAGAATTGGACGAAATCATAATGTGGTCCAGTACTTGTAAATCAGCATCGCATTCAATAAAACGAATCTAAAGAAATCAAGACCTTTTAGCTGTTCTGGTACTTCTTTTAGTATCTTTGACTGTTTCGACTCTTTATACTTGCTCAAACAACTGCAGATCATTTGTAGAGAGAGATTTAGGGTTTTATAAATTTTAAAACTATATGATGTACATACATCTAATATATTCTATGAAACAAATCCATACAATATGTATCACTTGCACTACAGTACTAACAAAACACTAAATAGAAAATATTAGCTCTGGTTTTTGTGGACACAAATTTAGCCACGGATTTTTTTCAGGATTTGGCCATGAACTTAAAATATGAGATAAATAAAACCAATTTGTGACTAATTATCCATGAAAATAATCCATGGTTAGTTATAAGACTAGCTAGTAATAGATTTTCCGTGGATATATATAGACAAAAAGAATTAGCCACGAAGTAGCCGCATATATGTTTTATTTGTCCCTTGAGAATAAGCTAAAACGATTGTATCTTTTTGAGGCATTTATCGTCTGAAGGAGAATCACGCACCTTTAAGACGGATCAGATCATAGAAACATTTATAAAAGGTATCCCACATTTGGTTATGAAAATCGAAAAATATATTTTGACGTATTAAAAATGAGTTTATAGTCCAACCATTATGAACAATCGATATCACACTCGGTGCGGCCTCTAGCTAATACTGACACTATAAGTTCTCTCCCAGAATATGCTTGATAAAGAAATATTTGCTCAGTCATCCAAAAAGCCTAAATATTTATTTACCTGTATTGATTGAAGAATTGTAGTCTTGGTTGAGTAACAATGTAGAGGCTTATCATGTTTCGATGAAGTAAAATAAGCTAAGTACATGCCACATTATCTAAAAAACGCAGAGGACTACCATGTAGCATGGGAGTCCGATACATCAAAAAAATACACACACCTAACAGAAAACAAGTTTGGGTGTGACAGTATGAATACATCGGTAGATAAGATGAACTTAAATCATGATTACAGAAATTCATGAACCAAAGAAGATTAAAAAAAGAAAAAGTTAGAGAAATTATTGGTGAACTAAATACATGTGTGGTGAACCAAAGAAGTACACTTTCAACTTGTAAAAAGTTTCACATCTTGAATGATAAACCAGTTGGTTTAAACATTAGATCCGGATTTCTTTGATTGAAATATTTAATCTTGTGTGAGTGAAGAAACTGAATACTAAACCACAAAACACTAAATCTATGAAAAATATCGACACAACTAAGAAATTAGGAAACGAAAAATGTTATTTAGTAAAATCTACGTTACACTAATAACTTCAAAAATTAAGAGACAAAAAGTGATTGTGGTTAAGGAGACCATGTTTGCTCATCTACAAGAAGACTCAACACACTATCTAGTACAGAAATGGTCTAAGCTAATATCGAAATTATCTTATCTACAATCACGCAGCAGGAGCATAATCGTAGCCACTGTCATCGTCGTCACCACCATTCTCAACACATGTGGCTCGAGAGCAATCCACCACATCTTCAACATACACCGCAGAAGCACGGTCAAAACTCTTGCTGACCAAGTTAGCAAAGAAATACATCATTTTTTTGTTTGTTGGTTATGAAAAGGCCTGAAGAAAGATCCACGCAGCCACAAGAAGTGTGAAGAGCTTTTAATGTTTATTTGAGTTTGGTGAATATAATAAGAGAGACTGATGAGCCTTTTATAGCTGGAAGTTAAAGGTAGAGGAAGTGTTAAACGCACTCTGTGGTCATGACTGCCTTGTGGAGTTTGCGAATTGCTCGTGTTTCTGTGTGTTTGGCACAATAGATAGTACACTTTTTCTCCCACGTAGGATTTTCTTATGACACATCAGACGTTAAGTTAACTCATTGGTACATTTATATTCCTTTCGGGTAACACATGTAAAGCAGTTTCCTTTTTCAGTAGCATTCTTCCCCAACCTCACAACAACAACAAAAAAAAAAAGGAGAAAAAAGAGGTTTAATATAAGATTCTAATGGCAAAATTGGTCTTAAAGACTATGCCTTTTCCTTAACAAGACTTTTAATAACTAACATGTACCTTAATTAATTTTGACCTAGTCTGTTCACAAATTATGTTTTTTTTTTTTTTTGATAAAATGTAAATATCATTAAGAAAAGAAAGTTAACTAGCTAAGGTTCACAAGAAGTAAGAACTAGATTTTGCTATCTTGCCAAAAAAAAAAAAAAAAAAACAATTAAACAAAAGAATTATGATATTCTTAGTGTATCCACAGTTGCATTGGTGTTGCGAATTTGCGATTGCGTCGTTTTGCACTAATCGAGTTTCGGACTTGCCTATCGATCTCCCTAAACACTATCATGCTGGAGTGACTTGTATGCTGTGTCACAAATTATAAGTTCTGTCGTGTAAAAGTTGTTGATAAACTCCATTTTTACTAACTTTAACACCAAAAAGATAGACCGACTAAACAACCGTACGTTGATCTATAATTCTATATCATTATTATACATCAATTATATCAAATGTCAGTATACGTAGACGACCTGAACGTCATTTTTAAATATATAAAATTAAGAATATTTTGAATTATGACAGTAAAATTCAAAGCTTTTTTGTTTTCTTATTGTTGTATATATATATATATTTTATTGCAAATGATTATTATTTATCAGTTACATGATGTAAGTGCTTTGATAAAATATTTATGTTATAAGATGTATGTCTTAGCTTAAGATGTATGTTATATATTAAATGTTATTGAAAATTAAGTAGTTATAGAATCTATTTTAATATTTTTGTGGGACTTTTAGTTATAATCATACTTTAATAGTAAAAGAACTCTGACGTATTTATTTCAAGATTTGATAATTTTTTTTAACTTTATTAATACTTTTCACATTGAACTATCGATAATACAACTATCAGAAGCATCAGACTCCTACCTTTGGTGGATTGATGACCAGTTAAAAGACAACCATTCCACTGGGAAAATATGCTTGGCTCTAAGGGAGAAATTGCCAACTGTACCATGGCATAACATCGTTTGGTTTTCAGGAGGAATACCCAAACACAAATTTCTCACTTGGCTATTTGTGTTGAATAGGTGCCCAACGCGTGACAGGTTGAGAAAATGGGGCTTGCAAGTTGATCCCAAGTGTTTGTTATGTGCTTCTGCAGATGAGAGTCGTGACCATCTTCTCTTTAACTGCTCTTTTAGTTGGATAATATGGAACATCATCTCTCGCCGATGTTCATTCACTCCTCATCGATCATGGTCGACTTCACCGCAACTGTCTCCTTCTTCGTCAGATTGATATATTAGTGCGGAACAGAGCTTCAAGTTTGCGTCGGTGATTTCATCAACTCTACTACAACTTTGGTTCGCTGGATCTGAGGTGACAAACATGTGAAAAAGAAAAAAAAGAAAGACCTAATTGCAGATGCAATTTGGGTGACGGCATCTCACGAAAAGCTTCACTACCAATCATTGATGGCAATATCGGTGGTGGTTTGGACTGGTTCTATTTTCCCAACCGAATTTCTGGTTCTATTACAACTATTGGTTCAAGTATCTGGTTCCTTCTAAACTATGGGTTACGTTTAATATTTTCTTCGTTTGGGCTTCCAAATTTGGGCCATTGGCTCTGTAAAACTTTCTTTCTCATGCTTTAAGTTGAATATCTTTTAACAAAAAAAAAAAAAAAAACTTTATTTATACTTATGAGAGACATAATTCAGTTATAACAAATTTTGTGCTCCTGTTCTCATCAGTCTAAAACATCGACACCAATGATAATCATATATATGAAAGGAGGCTATCTCTCTCCATCCTTCCGCCACGTCAGCATTTTTGGCTCTTCTGGAGATGACACATCAGCTTTTTATTCGTCCAATCAAAACATTTCATTAATACACATCAGCTTCTAATTATAAGTGTCAAATGGAAAAACAAAATAGCCCATGAGAGATGGACCATATGTGTTTTAGAATCTATTAGAGTGTAATATTTATGAGTTGAGCCCATTAAAAATTGTAACTACATAAGAAAGATTTAGTTTTATTACCTACATAATAACAAATAAAAAATAAACATAAATTAGCAAGAACAATCAATAATTTTTTCTTCACAATTTTCAAAATAAATCCACGCGTAGCGTGGATATTCATCTAGTCTTATATAATATGACAAGGTTTCCTCCAAACGTGCTCTAATTTTTTGACATTTGGCACTTCAAATACTTGACATATGTCATATTTTTCATCTCTTAATTATTTACATTAATATACCATGACTAATTTCTCTTTTATTTAAATCAATAAATATCTCTCTATTACTTTACTTTTCAATATTTTAAGTTTTGATTCTTTTCCATCATACTTTTTAATACCATAGAGAATAAAATTCATATAAGACACCAATATTTATTTCTAATCTTAATTATTAACAAAGTGTTTATTTATTCATATTCATTTACCACAATAAAACCAATCATCTTATTTGACACCAATATTGTGGAAAATGAATTTCTTATAATCTATATATAATAGCAATCTAATAAATACCATTTGCACATCTGAACGATTGTGTCTTTTTATCGCAATCTTTCATTTAAATCGGTTATTTTTTACGGTTATTTTGGTTGCGTCTTTTTATCGCAATTTTCGTTTTAATCGGTTATTTTTTTACGGTTATGTCGTTTCCAATAAATACCATTTGCACATCTGAACGGTTGCGTCTTTTTATTGCAACCTTTCGTTTAAATATATAATAGCAATCTCAATAAATACCTTTTGCAAATTTGAACGGTTGTGTATTTTCGTCGCAACCTTTCGTTAAGTTTTTTTTTAAAAACTATAAAATATTATTGCTTTTTAAAAAAGTTGCATCTATAAAAAATCTGAACATATATGTCTTTTTGTCGCAATTTTCGTTATTTTTTTTAAATAGCTATAAAATATAATTTGTGGTTGTGTACTTGTGTTTTCTTAAAGTTGCATCTGTTTAGTTTTTAAATATAAAATATTTGAACTATTGTGTCTTATCGTCGCAACCTTTTCGTTAAGTTTTTTTAATAATTATAAAATATAATTTATGGTTGTGTTTTCTTAAAGTTGTATCTATTTAATTTTTAACTATAAATTATAAATTTTATGGTTTTGTTATTTAGAAAATTGCATTTGTTCCGTGGTTGAAACGGTTCGTCAAATAAACTTTTTCATTTTACAATTGTGAAAAGTTGCATCTGTTCAATTTTTAACTATAAAGTATAAATTTTATGGTTTTGATTTGTTCAAAAGTTACAACAGTTCATTTTTAATAACTATAAAATATAATTTATGGTTATGTTTTTTTTTTAAAGTTGCATCTTTTCAATTTTTAACTATATAATATAATTTTATGGTTTGTGTTTAGAAAGTTGCATATGTTCAAAGATTGCAACGGTTAATCAAATAAACCTTTTCATTTTACGGTTGTTGGCATTTTTTTCGCTACCTAGCATTCATATATATGTATACTTTGTTATCTATATTATTATTTATTTTTTCCTAAATAACTATTATTTTGGTTATTTGTTAATTTTTTCTGAGGATTATCTTTCTTTAACAACACAATTTAAAGTATTGCGTATTTTTAACATAATGTTTTGTTGAATGTATTTATATAATTGTGTTGAGAAGTGTTTAAAAACTTGAAAAAGTACGTCTACTCATTATAATGATTAATTAATATATTTGTTTATGATCACATCTTTTCACCATAATGTTTTTTAATAATAATATAAATCTTAATAATTGTTTCTGAATGTTACGTCTCTTTAATATTTATCATAATTTTTCGCAAAATATATCTTGATTTATTATTAAAAAGACTTTTCTGAAAGTTATCTAAATACATTATAATTTTTCATTTAATATTTTTTTCTTTAAAGATTTTTGAATCATTTCCCCCGCGACATCGCGGGGGTCTGAGTCCTAGTAATTTATAGTAAAATTATTTTATGTATTTTCAGATTTGTAACCCCCATACTAATAATTATTAATTTTGAGTTGTTGAACATTTATTTTGATTTTATTTTTAAATTTGTATCCCCCATACTAATAATTATTAATTTTGAGTTGTTGAACATTTATTTTGATTTTATTTTTAAATATAATTTTAAAATTTTATATAAAGTGTAAATTAGATAGTTTAACAAAACATTTCAAGAAATTTGGCTTAAACTGTTTATATAGCCTACAAATTTTTAATACATGAAAGTTAATTTGGTTTTTTTTTTTTATTAATTAATGTGTGGTTGACAAAAAAAATATATAAATTAAATCGTTTAAAATGTTCACTTTCTTCTTATTGAGTTACTTGACAATTCATTTTTAAATATTTTCCCTTCTTGCAATAGTGATTTTATTTTTAAATATAATTTAAAAATTTTATATAAAGTGTATTAGATAGTTTAACAAAATATTTTAAGAAATTTGACTTAAACTGTTTATATAGCCTACAAAATTTTAATACATGAAATTTAATTTGTTCTATTTTAATTATAATTAGAAAATAGTTATAGAAAGTTAAATTGAATAGTTTAAAATGTTCAAGAAATTAGACTTAAACTGTTTATATAGCCTACAAATTTTTAATACATAAAAGTTAAATTGGTCTTTTTTTGTTTATTAATTAATGTACGGTTGACAAAAAAAAATATAAATTAAATAGTTTAAAATGTTCACTTTCTTCTTATTGAGTTACTTGACAATTCATTTTCAAATATTTTCCCTTCTTGCAATAGTTAACAAATTTAATGAAAAATAAATAAACAATTATGGCGTTTGATTATGGCTCCTGAGTTACTATTTGCAAGGGTATTTAAAGGACGATATTTCCAGAAATCCAATCCATTGGATAATATAAAATCGTACTCTCCTTCTTATGGTTGGAGAAGTATAATGTCAGCTAGATCTCTGGTTCTTAAAGGACTTATTAAAAGAGTTGGTTTTAGGGCGTCCATCTCAGTATGGGAGGACTCATGGATACCAGCTCAATTCCCGAGACCAGCAAAAAATAATGGTTCAACTACTGACTCATCTTTAAAAGTTAATCAACTTATCGACAGCTGGTCAAACTTTTGGAATATGAATCTCTTGGCGGAGCTTTTTGATCCAGAGGAGGTCGCGCTGATTAGTGCTTTGCCTTTGGGTGTCTCAACTAAGGAGGATACCCTTGGTTGGCATTTCACAAAATCAGGAAATTATACGGTTAAATCGGGTTACCATACCGCACGGAGAGAGACTTCTGATGCCAACCATAAATTTTTTGACCCGGATATCAAATCTTTGAAAGCTTATGCATGGAAGGTGAAGTGTCCACCAAAGCTACGACATTTTTTGTGGCAAATATTATCAGGTTGCGTACCTGTTACAGAGAATCTGAGAAAGAGAGGTATAAATTGTGACACTGGATGTGTTAGATGTGGCGCTATGGAGGAACCAATTAATCACACACTTTTTGAATGTCATCCTGCAAGACAAATTTGGGCTCTTTCTCCAATCCCTTCGGTTACAGGGATTTTTCCTTCGGCTTCTGTTTACGCGAACTTGGATCATCTTTTCTGGAGAATTCCATCAGAGATTGATTCATCTTCATTTCCATGGATAATTTGGTATATTTGGAAAGCGAGAAACGAGAAGATTTTTGATAATGTGGATAAAGACCCATTAGAGGTTCTACATTTAGCGGAGAAAGAGGCACAAGCTTGGCAGGTTGCTTAATCTGAGCTACATATTGACAACCAAGGTTCTTTAGATACTGTAACTCAAAATCACGTGAGAGAGAGTTCATTGGATTCCAGTTACTCTGGACATCGGTGTTGCGTGGATGGATCATGGAAAAGGACTGATATTTTTTCAGGAACAAGGTGGTACTGTACATCGGCAAATGGAGAGATGCCAACCATGGGAGCTGCAAACATCTGGCGAAGTCTATATATCCCCCCTACATACAGAAGTCGAAGCTCTACTCTGGGCGATGAAGTGTATGATTGGTGCTGACAACCAAGATGTAGCTTTCTTTACAGACTGTTCAAATTTGGTGAAGATGGTCTCTTCCCCAACCGAATGGCCGGCCTTCTCAGTGTATTTGGAAGACTTGAAGAGTGACAAGGAAGAATTCTCTAATTTTTCTTTATCTTTAAGTCCGCGTAGCGCAAATGTAAAAGCGGATAATTTGGCACGAAAAATTCGTACTGTACTGCATCATATCACTTATGTAAACAACATTCCCCAGAAATGGCTCTTTTGAGCATCTATTTTATTTAAGCTGTTGACAAAAAAAAAAAAACTTCTCCTCTAACTTTTATATTCCAATGTTGTGATGTTTTCGTTTGAATGTGCCTAAACGTTTTTTTCAATTAATAGCATTAAATTGGATTCAATTGTGGTTTTATTAACTTATTAGCATTAACTTTCTTTCTTATGTGACTAATCACACCTTTTATAACATATGGTGGACTCACATATAATTGATTAACTACATCAACTATGTAATTTGCACATTTCAAATTAAAATCCCCACTAAATTTCTATAATAAATTTTTATTTTACTAAAAGAAAACAAAGATACAATTTGAGCAATTTGTATACTTTGAAGTTGTCTTTTTCCTAGATTTTGCCTTATTTTATCTTCTCATTATGTAGTTAAAATCAAGTAACATAATTAAAAATTAATTTTTTTCTACATAATATTAACTTTTTCATAGTTATCAAATTTAAGGAAAACCATAAACTACCCAATTAATATAATTTGAGACAGGTAAATACACTTCTACCCAATTAACTTTTTTTATTCTTATAAAACGTAGTCAACATTATTTAATGACTGTAATATAAAGACACATGGACTAAAGAAGACTAAATGACCAACGATAATGGACATTAAAATTAGCATTAACTTAGGCATTGAAGTTTCATATTTTCAATTTGTAATGGTAAACTAAAACTTCCTTATTATGAAATTTTGCATTAAAATTAGCATTAACCCTTACTACGAGTTAAAAATCTTATCGATACGCGAACAAACTCCTGGAATTTAGATATGCTAAAAGTTATTGTCACTTCGGAGGACGTTCAGTTAATTAACGCTATACCCGTGGAAAGATTATCAAATCTAGATACTTTGGGATGGTATTTTACTAAATCAGATCAATATACGGTTAAATGGGGATATCATACGGCCTGTCTAAACATTGGGACGGGTTCTTAGGTACAAGAATTCGGACCAGACATTAAACAACTTCAAGGGTTTATTTGGAAAATAAAATGTCCGCCAAAAGTTCGACATTTTATGTGGTAAGCTTTATCTGGGTGTGTTTCGATTACCTCGAATCTGTGCAGAAGAGGTATTAATTGCGATACGAGATGCGATCGATGTGGGGCTTCCGAAGAGACAATTAACCATGCCCTCTTTGAATGTCCACATGTGCGTCAGACTTGGATTTTATCACAGATCCCAACAGCACCTGATATTTTCCCATCAGGTTCACTATATATAAATATGGACTATTTATTTTGGAGAACACCCTCAGAGGTCTACACAGCGATGTTTCCATGGATTATTTGGTATTTGTGGAAAGCCAGGAATGATAAGGTGTTTAATAATATGGACCCAAAGCCCAACTGATATATTAAGGTTGGCAGAAAATGAAGAGCAAGCCTGGCAGCTGGCTCAGGTGGAGATTTCGGACGATAACCTAGAAACGGTGATAACTAATTATATAATAACCAATCTCATTCTAGAGTTGAACATATCGGGCAACACGGATCAGGTTATCGATGTTTCTTAGATGGTTCTTGGAAAGAAAGCGATTGTTTTTCAGGACTAGGCTGGTTTTGTTCTTATCCAAACGAAGAAACGCACGACATGGGAGCTGCAAATACTCGAAGAAGTTTGACCTCACTCCACACAGAGGTTGAAGCACTAATCTGGGCGATGAGATGTATGATCGGCCAAGACAAGAGAGAAGTAGCTTTCCTTACAGACTGCTCTGACCTGGTGAAGATGGTGTCTTCTCCGCAAGAGTGGCCAGCGTTCACGACTTATTTGGAGGCGATTCAAAGCGACAAGGAAGAGTTTGATTTTTTCTCTTTATCGTTAATTTCCCGAAATTTGATTGTGAAGACGGATAAATTGGCACGAACTGTTCGTATCTTACCTCATCTTTCGACTTATGTTAACAATTTTCCTCAACATTGGCTCATTTGAGCCAATCCAATAAAGCTGTTGACAAATAAAAAAAAAACTAAAACTTTCATTATTGTACTAATATATATAGACTCTTACTTACATCTTAGACTCATATTAGCTCTTATATTTTGTTCTTTAGTTTTTGTGATTGATTCAAATTGTTTAATGTTTAATGTTTAATATTTTTCTAAAATGATTGCATCAATTTTTAGTTACATGCGTTTTTTTACTCCAAATAAAATTGAAACAATTCTTAACATCTCCTCAAGAAAGAGATTTTTGTCTCACATCACAAGGTGAATAACTTTAAATGATTGAATGCATATGAAGAAAGGAGTTGACTATGAGAAGTAAAGTTGGTTTCTTCGATATATTAATATTTCAATGTTGTGTCAATGAATAAAGTGAATACTACACCACAAAAACACAAAACTTATGAAAAAACATCGACACAAGTAAGAATTCAGGAAACTAAAAATGTTATATAGTACGTTAAATCAATTTCCAAACATAAGAGACAAAAAAATTTAATTTGGTTAAGGAAAAGAAGATATACTACTACAGTCTATAGTTAATGGAACCATGTCTGTTATCTATAAGATGACTGACCACACTATCTAGCACATACATGCCTAGCCAGATATCTAAATTACAATCATAGAGCTCTCTCTCTTTTTTTCTCCCCTAATTACATTTATAAACTAAGATGAGAGAATCATGCAGCAGGAGCGTAATCATAGCCACTGTCATCATCATCACCACCATTCTCAAGACATGTCGCTCGAGAGCTATCCACCATATCTTCAACATACATCGCGGAAGCACGGTAAAAACTTTTGATGACCAAGTTAGCAACGAAAGACATCATTTTTTTGTTGGTTATGAAGATGCCTGAAGAAAGATCCACAGAGCCACAAGAAGTGTGGTGAGCTTTTGGTGATGATGTGAGTTTGGTGAATATAATAAGAGAGACTAATGATAGTTTTATAAGTGGAAGTTAAAGGTAGAGGAAGTGTTAAACGCACTCTGTTGTCATGACTGCCTTGTGGAGATTGCGAATTGCTCGTGTTTCTGTGTGTTTGGCACAATAGATATTACATTTTCCCTCACACGTAGGATTTTAATATGACACATCAGAAGTTAAGTTAACTCATCGGTCCATTTTTATTCCTTTCTAGTAAAACATGTAAAGCATTTTCCTTTTTCATTAATATTCTCCCCCAAGCAAAAAAAAAAAAAAAGAGTTTTGGAGCCTTAATATAAGATTCTATATTGGCAACATTGGGCACTTCTAATTAAAAATTAAGGAATGATTTCTTACTTAAATAGATCTCGAAAAATTTCTTCCCCATATCCACATAGCTTTTAGTTGCCCATAAATCACCTTTTGTACCCAAATCTCCCATCGTTCTCTCTTGTGTTGATTGGGAAGATGCGTGTGTTGGTAACTTCGTTTTCATAGTTGTTGTTGATGAAATATTAACACTGTTAGCAAAAAAAATATATTTCATCAACAACTCTTAAAAAAATAGATTTGTTAATATTTCATCAACAACAAATATTAACACTCTTAGCAAAAAAAAAAAAGTTGTTGTTGAATAGCTTCAGTTGGAATTCTGTCTTAGAGGCTTAAAGAGGATAGATTTGATCTTGGGGATTATCTACACTATTGTTGATTTGTTTCTATAGAAGAGCATTATTTTTTTTTTGATGAAAATGAATATGAAAAATATTTCTACCTAAGATAATTTACTTTAACGTGAAAAATAATAATTTGACTATCTAAGATGATTTTAGTCATTTATAATAACTATATAAAACAATTTTTACATTTTGATGAAAAGGTAAAAATATTTATATTTTACGTTTACCCGTTTTCTAAAAGCTAAGTTTGATGAAAAGGTAGAAATTCTTCTAAACAATGTTAGAGCAGGATTGTCGGAGGTATCTTAGACATATCTAAGGGAAAAAAATTATTAAATTTAATGAATAGATCAAACAAATGCTAAGATGTATATCTTATTTAAGATGTTGTTGATGAGTTTAGATATGAGCACGTGTCCTGCTCTGATTAATTTGAAAAAACAACAAAGCCAAAAAAAAAACCTCTCGTTTTTTTTTTCTCTCTCGACCTTTCTCTCTCTCTCTCTTTTCCTCGAAACAAAAACGGCGAAATCCTGCTCTGAGGCAGTTGATCCAACGAATATTATGTTATTTATGTTATAAATTGTATCTCATGTATGTTTTAATTTTTTTAATTTGCAACAATTATTAAATTTTCTATAATTATAAATTTTATTTTTGTATTAATATTTTTTTTTCTAAGAACCACATGTTAAGAACCTACCATTAATAACACAAAAATCTTAACCCAAAAATACTATATCTTAACTATCACTTTTACAAATATATTATTTAAATATTCCTAAGATTTATTTCTAAGATACTACCAATAATCATGCTCTTAAGTCCGGCTCAAAGTCAAGACATGTGAAATGGTGCAATAGTGGATCATGTTAGCTATAAAGAAATTCTGAATAAAGAAAACAAAAAACGCAACACATGTAACAACATAATGGGAAACAAAAGAAGATAAGAGGGTAAATGAGTTGCAACCAAAAGTCAAATCCATCTTAATTAGCTTTCCCCAACAACTAAAAAAGAAGCCAAATGTTAACTAAACTTGTAATCCTACTTCTTCTCTTTGACCTTGTGGAACAGGGACCAAACTGGGAATATAGGTAATCTGCAAAGGCCAACGGTCAACCTCTATTCGAGTTTTACTCAACTTATTTCCCCTCATAACATAAATCCAAGCCTGTCCATGTTCGTCACAAGAACACATGACAAGCGTTTTGTCGTCGATGAAGTAACTTGGCGGATAGTAGGATCTTACGCCCACTAAATCAGGGACGTTAGAAATTGATACAGTCATGAATATTATCCAATCCACACTTTCCCCATCCCCATTATTAATCTTGTTCTTGGTCACCTTAATCTCAATCTTCCTAGTTTCACCGCATTGCTCTAACAACGAAAACCGATCTTCCCTAAAAACCGCAAGAATAGGAGCATCTGCAAATGATGTTCTCTTACATGGTAGACAACAAAAGACGGCCGATCTCTTAGTCGAACAATCTAAGCTTATAATGAAAATCTTGTCAAGGTATTCAGAAGAAGAAGCAACCCAATACAAAGTTCCATTCAAGAATACACTAAGACCAAAAAGATTAATCACCCTCATAAACCTATCGTCGGCGGTTTTGAAGTCGTATTCTTTCCAAGCATTGAATGCAAAGTTGTAGAAAGTACTCCACTTAAATTTGGGAATAAATTGAGACTCAAAGAACTTTAAACTACTGTGTTCTAAACCTTTATCGTCGTACGCTATACCCTCGATTCCCATACTTTGTTTTGAATACGGCTCGATCCATCTACTCTCTCTCAACAACGGATTCCAAACATAGACTCTATTGTCCTCCCACGAACAATGCAATAAGCCATCGTGATGATGGATGCTTTTAGGTCTCTGAGATTCTAGACCGGGAATATCTAAGTTTAACTCACGCACTTCTATCTTTGGATCGTCATCAAGACTGACGCTTACGGAACAAAACTTGGATTTGGTCGCTAAGATGAATTGAGGATAGGCACGAGCCAAGTGGTTTCTAATAAATCTCTTTTCGTTGAAAAGTGTGTTCCATCGTTTGCAAACGGTTCTCAAGCGAGTGAGAGGTAAAGGTGGAACACGAAAAAGTATCTCTTCCTCTAACTCCGACGGGAGCTTTTCTTGCGCCATTAGGTGTTTCAACCCTAAATTTGTGCACGGTTACATATATATTAATAAGAGAGCACTTTTATGTATATTAAAAAAAAAAAATAAGAGACGATAAAATAAATAATATATTTTTCTTTTGTAAGGCTTTATTACGAGAGGAACAAAATTAAACCAGAGGATAATAGTTTGGGACTGACTGAGACCTCCATCAGCCCCGAACCCAACACGCAACGAGATTTTTTATGAGAGAGTAGAACAAGTTTCGAGTTTACATCATTCCCTGAAGCAACTACCAATCTACCACTAGGCCACAATGTATATATTTACATCATTCATTACTTTTACATGTAGACTAATATTTCATGCTGTCTTTAATGGTTTTCATGTATAAAAAGATTGGGATTAAATGTTTTGAAACGTTTTGTTATCTTGAGATTGGGCTTATAACTATTTTCGAGACTCGCCATTAATCTTTAGGAAGTTTTGTCTCTGAAGAAAAGCTTTGATAACTTGGGAACAATAATACATGGTTGTTTTACTGATTGTAAGGTAATATATATATATCATGTTTCTTCAATATAATTTATGATAATTCATGTTGAACCATACTTTCTTCTCAAATTGGCAATTATATAATAACATGTGGAACAGAACATATGAAAAAAAAAAAAAAACGCTTTTGTTGGCAACATCTAAACAAAACCAGTTTAGACTAAATCGTAGAAGCTAACAAATTATTTCAAAGAATATAAAAATTCGTTAGACATTCAATCTAGTTTGTAAAACAAAAAGGAAGACTAGAAAATAGAGAAGATAGTTGTAAATAAAAAATATCAAAATCCAAATCAATGTAAGCTTCCTAGAGAACAACAAAAGAAGCCAGACTAATGAAATCAAACTTGTAATGCTGCTTCTTTAGTTTGACTTCGACTTCGAGGTACCGGGACCAAACTGGGAAAACAGGTACAATGCAAAGGCCAGAGATCAACCACAGAATCTATTTGAATTTTACTGATCAACTTATTGTCCCCCATAACATAGATCCAAGCTTGGCCAGTTTCGTCGCAAGAACACACAACGAGCTTTTTATGGTCGATGAAGTAACTTGGCTTTACTAAACCCGGCAAGTTAGGAGTTGACACTTCCATGAAATTCATCCATTCCACATCTCCACTACGGCAGTTTTTAATCTTGTTCTTGGTCACCCAAATCTCAATCTTCTTTGTTAGATGGCATTGCTTTAACAACGATAGCCGATCTTCCATAAAAAGCCTAAGAACAATAACATCGCTATGATGGTTCTCTCCACATGGTAGATCAGAAAACTTGTGGACTTTTTCATTGGAAAAGTTGAAGTAAACTAGGACGAACGAGGAATTATTCTGTAGATAAGAGGCAACCCAATACAAAATTCCATTTAACGTTACACTTGTGGCGAGTAAAGTAATACCATTACTACCACTAATAACCAACTCTTTATCTTTCCACGAATTGGAGGCAAAATCATGGATTTTCCAAACTGATTTTGTAGCTAATTCATTCGGATGAGACACAAGTGTCTTATAACCACTACCCTCACGTTTCATGTTATCATACTCATAACCTATGCCATTGAAACGCAAAATAGGTTGGTCGTTTACCTCTGGCTTCATCCATCTAGCCTGTCTTAACCACGGGTTCCAAACCACGGCTTCTTTATCCATGCCACATAGCAAGAACCCATTGCAATCAATCAAAACTTTAAGTTTATGTGATTCTAAACCGGGAATATCTAAAGTTAACTCACGCACTTCTATCTTTGGAGTGATGCTTACCGAGTAGAACTTGGAATTGGTTGCTAAGATGAATCGAAATGTCATCTTGTGGTTGTTAATGAACATCTTATCGTCGAAAAGGGCGTTCCATTTCTTAGAAACGGTTCTGAAGCGAACAAGAGATTCAGGAGGGACACGAAAAAGCGTCTCTTCAATCAGGTTCAGGTCACACGGAAGCTTCTCCTCAGGAACCATTATCTCTTCTTTTCTTTTCTTTTTTCCTTTTTTCGTTTTGGGTTATGTCTTTCATATTAAAGTTTTCCTAATTAGGGTTTCAACTGAATGTTAGTAAAAGATATCTCCTAAAGATTTGAGATCTTTCAAATCTATAGTCAATCCCTACTATGCGGAGTAACGCGACTTAGTGGAGTCGAACTCCGGTGGGAAGGCGGAGTCAAATGGACTTAACCACTTAACTAAATGCACATCTCCCACCAGGGAACAATTTATATTCTAAAATTTATGATTTTTAAAATTTAATGATTATGTATTATATATAAAAGTTTTCAAAATTTATAATTTTTTAAAAGGTTGTTAGATCCAACGTACATCAGGGAACAATTTATATTCTAAAATTTAATGATTATGTATTATATATAAAAGTTTGCAAAATTTATAATTTTTTTTTTAAAATATGTTTATAATTTATAATTGTGATTAAGTGGGTGATTGGTTGAGCTGTATCTGTAATGTTTTTGTTGTAGGGTTTTTGCTGTAGGGTTTTTGCTGTATCTGTGTTGGCTGTAGCTGTAGGGTTTTTTTCTGTATGTATTTTAATAGTAAAGCATGATTGGTAAAGTTAGTTCAATATTATAAATTTATAATTTAAGTATATGAATTTTAAAAATTTGTAATATATTACATAAGATAACAGATGAAACATATAATAAATAGTAAGTTTCAGATATTCAAAATACATTAAACAATTTTTGGTGAAAATATATATTAAAATATAAAATTTTATAACAATGAAATAAAATATATATATATATATATATATACATATATAATTAATATAATTTTCTGTCACTTTAGTAAAAGTATTGTAAATAGATTCTTTTTTCTTATATTTAAATTATCATGTACACTGGTATGGAGTAAAAAAAGAAATAATTAAATATAGGAGAAGAAAAAATGTTGTAGCAAATATGCTGTAAAAATTTTAAGAGTTATAGCAAAAAAAACTAAAAAAAATTGTTTTGGGCTGTGAGTAGGCATGTCAATCGGGCTAGCCCGGCCCGGCCCGAAGCCCGCATATATTTGAGTCCGGCCCGGCCCGGTCCGTAAAAATTCCGAGCCTAGATTTTGAAGCCCGGCCCGGCCCTAACAGGGCTACAGGGCTTTTACGGGCTTTTTTGGGCTTTTCTTTCGAGAAAAATAAACTCTTCTAATCTATAATATCTCTTAAAAAAAAACAATCTATGTATAAAACGAGTCAAACGAAACTTAAATAACCCAATAAAGCCAATTTAGTTTTTAAAAAGTTTAAAATCAAATAAATAATCTAAATAAATTGTTTAAACCCACACTAAATAAAATATAAAATCAGAACACTTATAGTAAGACACAATTATAAAACTAGGTTTAGGGTTTTTAACTCTATTAAAAAAAATCTTTAAACAAATCTCTTAATTAAACAATAATATTTACAAAAAAAAGTTAAAATCTTTTTTTTAAGGGCTTTTCGGGCCGGCCCGAGCCCGGCCGGGCTAAGCCCTAAAAATCCTTTAGCCCAACGGGCTTAGCCCGAAAGGCCCGATTTTTTTCTGGACATATATTTTTAAACCCGAGCCCGCTGTTTTTCAGGGCTGGGCCGGGCCAGCCCGCGGGCTTTGGCCCTAATTGACATGTCTAGCTGTGAGATATTTTAGGAAAGCTAAAGTTTGATTGGTTTAATATTGGAGCTTTAAGTTATTTTTTAGCTGTACCATAAAGATACAATCCAACCAATCACCCCCTAAGTAACTGTATACCGGGGATAATTTTTGTATTATACAATTTTATCTAATCAGAGTGATTCGATAGCTCTAATATTAATGGTATTAAAAATTAGGATTTAACCCATATTAAAGCGACGAGTTAGTGATATTTTATATTTTGTTAATGTTCACCACATCCGTCCCACCATATAACCATGTCCTACAATATAATTCTTCATGTGTTGTTTTAATTTTTATATATGTTCAAATATTTATAATATTGATAAATTTATTTTAAATATATCAATTATAATATTTAAAACTTGTTAAATTTTAAAATTTCCTATATCCGGAAAAATTTAACTATTTAACTAGAAAACCTAATTAAATTGTATACAAAAAATTTGGATGCTTTTTAAGTTAAGTTTTCTACTCATTCGGATTTGAATTCATTCTGATCTGATTTATAATATGACTTTGAGTCATTGTATAAATATTTTAGCTGATGTGAGATGTTGAACATACAATTTTTTATTAATAGAATAATATATGTCCGTTTTAAAAATTTATAATTACAATACATGCTGAACAAAATTGATATTTTCTAACTCTATGTAATATGATGATTCAAAATAATTAAAAAATCAAACAAAGATGATAGAAGAGTCATAATTTTAAATTTTAACTAAATCATCAAAATATCTATATTATTAATTGTGAAATATTATATAAATATTTTTGATTTTTTAATTAATGTTAAAATCTTTTAATTAGGTTTGGTTATATGGTTGTATATAATTTATGATAAAATTGTTTGGATACATGATATAATCAATAAGACCATCCACATAGGAGAATTAATTTGAGTATCAAGAGCCCAATAATTATTATTTAAAGGATCAAAACATGAATTTGGGTCTGATACGTATCAGCCCAGTGATACTTCTGATACTGAGTATCATGTGACGTGGCAGCATGCTATTGGTGGGCAAAAACGCGTTTTTGGCTGAAACCGAGAAAAAAAAAATCATTTCCTTCTCGATTCTTCTCCTCTCTTGTCTGTCTGCTATTCGCGAAAACCTCTTCATCGCGAAAATCCGCCATGGGTAAGGGTTTCCGAGCTCTCTCTTTCTCTCTTCATCGCTCTATGTTTCTTCTCTCTCTCTCGATTTCTAGATTGTGCGCTTACTGGTTTTGTTAGTCGATCGGAGCTTTTCTTCTATTTTGGTTGAATCTCTGCCTCTTACTTTGTTATCTTCGATTATTAAGCTGATGGATTCTTTACTCTGGTAGTTAATCTTAAATTGGAAGGAGGATTATCGGCTTTTGGATTAGAAATCGGATTAGGGTTTAGCTGATTTGTTTGTTTTAATTGTGAGGGATTGTGTATTTAACTCTCAGATAGTGAGGGATTGTGTATTTAGTGGAATTCTTTGCTAAATTTATCTGGTTTATCTAACTTTGCCATAACTTTAATTTTTTTTTTTGGACTTTGGTGATTTCAGCTTCTGAGAATCATGATGAAGTAATGCTTCATCCAGTCCATAACCCAGCGAAAGGTTTGTAGACTATCGTCTCATACTGCTCCCATCTCATCTCTCTGGTATCATGTTGTCTGCGTGAAAATTTATTTATCATTCTGATATATGTAATCAATCTTAGCTAAAGAGAAAGCTGCTCTTGAATTTAATAGAGAACTAGAATTGAAACTGAGCACTTGAATTTAATAGAGATTAGGTATATATGGTTCAGAATGCCATTGTCTTTAATGGAACAATGAATACATACAAAACTGAGATTTTTGTAGTATGAGAAGAGGAGATAGAACCCTAAAGTCTTCTTTGACATCTTGATTGGATAGATGAAGGCAGGGCGGGTTTTTGGGCTTAAGTTGATTGATTTATGATCTTCTGTAAATTCTAGGATGATGCTTTCACGTTGAGGTTCCGAACTCGTTAAACCTTGTGTGTTCCTTTCATTTTTTCCAGCTCTGCATCATTCTTCTTTAAAGGCTCTGCATCACACTCGTTCTCTGCATCTTCATTGTTAAACACTTCTCTATCTCTGCATCACTTTCTCTTTAAGTTTCAGTCTCTGTTCTGCATTATTCAAGTCAGTTGTTAAGCTTCAAGGTAGTAGTTGTGTGCTTGTGAGTAAGATAGCTTAAGTTAAGGAGGTTAAAAACCTCACAAATTGGTATCAAAACAAATTTGGATGATGGTTCTTGATTGTCCTTGTTGTTAATGATTTGTCTGTATTTCAGGTGCATAATGACGAGATGACGAGAATTTCTTTGTGGAAATTCAGGGACGAAATCATCAATCTTGATGAAGCGGTAATGATGGGGAACACATCAAACGAAATCCCAACACTAGAATCAGCATCAATGGAGATAAGGGTACTTCCCTTACCAAACATGATAGACAAACAAATGTCATCACTGTTAGAGGAATGACCATCACAAAAGAAGAAAAGAAGAGATACCATGGAATCATTGTCAAGCTGCTTCGTGGGTATATACTCGATCAAGTCAGTGAACCGACGATGGGATGTTATTATATGTGTAGTGGCTCTGATAGCAATATTGTAAGAGTTTTATAAATCATAGATTGCAAGTGATTTTAGATGACTTTGAATCTTTTTAACTTTTAAGTAAATTCCATGTTCAATAACATGAGATTTGTGAATGTTTTTCAAAATCATTCATTCAATAACAGGTGATTTCAAAAAAATATTAAACTCTTCCAAAATACACAATCCAATACACTCCCTAGGTGTTTTGAGAGTTGTAAAACATGTTCAATCTTATTACAATGTGTATGCATTTCGTAGATATTAAGTAAAAGCACACAATTGGTGAATAATCCAGTCATGTTTATAGTCTTCAAAATCTTTACAAAGTAGAATCAATTAGCTGAGTGTTTGTTTATTATCCTGTTGATTGATTACAGGCAGCAGAAGAGTAAAAACAACGAGGAAGCTTGAAGGTAAAACTTTTTGTATTTTACGTTTTTATGGATCGTAATATTACCTTTTGTAATCTTATGTTTTTATATATTTATTTTTCGATTTTTTAAATAATTTTTTTTATATATTAATGATACTGATACCGATCTCACCAATGGAAACAGATTTATTACAAGTATCATAAAAAATCTCAAACAATAAACAAATATTAAAATTAATACTAAAAAATTGTTAATGATACTCATAAAATATCACCTATGTACATACTCTAACATTCTTTGTAAATAGTGTAAAAACTAAAGAGTTTTCTCTAAAATGTATATATATAGATGGATTTAAGTTCCACGGAAATCGAGGAAAAAAAATGTTTAACAGACACTTGCATACGATGTGTGACTAAACACAAAAGCAAAGAAAGCTTCTTACATGTTGACTTCTTCCACGTTGATTTACTTACTCGTACCACTAAAAGTCATATACATAATGGAAGAGTTTTTTTCTCTTCCACCTAAACATCCATTTAAACATTAGTACTTTTATTTTTGCATTAATGTATATTAAAATAGGGTGAATTAAATATATATACTCAGAAGATTAAAAAATTAAGAATATATACATGTATTTTGTATAATTAGTTCTCTTTCATCAATTTGTATAAGTTGGACGAAAATGTCTTTCTGTATGTAATAAATTGTTTAGCATTATAATAAAATAAATATCGATGAGATAAATATTTCAGTTGGATTTTGATAATAGCTCTGGTCAAAAATCCGGTGACGAATCAGTTGCAGTTTAAGATAGTTAATTATTTTGTTAACATAATATCTATTATTTGTTTATTAAATATATAGGTAAGAACATATTATGAGTTAACTTACTATCTATTCGGTTAACATGATAACAACTTATATACAATATCTCAATAAGTTTATAAATATATCATGTTAAATCATATTGTATCACGATAAGTATATAGTTTATGTGATAAACTAATATTTATCGTGATAATTCAGTTGTTATGTCATATACAAAAAATAACAAGGTACAAATAGTATGGTGTTTTGTGGATACCTATTTGATTAACATGTTAACTAGTATAATATCGTAAGAAATTTATATGTTAAATGCATAGTTATCATGTTAAATCAGTTATCATATTTATGGCACCACAAGAATCGCATTCCCAGCTTTTATAAGAAAGAGTATAACTTAAAAGACGATGAAAAGCATCACATGTTCGTGAAGACCACCACCGTCATAATCTTGAACCACCACATGTCCTCCTTCGCTGTCTCATAGGTTTACAATTCCGCCAAAATTGTAAACCACCACCGAGATTCAAATCCACCACCGCGTCCTGGCTTTGACCTTCATTGAATCAAAATCGGAACCACCATTAATCCACTACCAACCGTCTCTCCGCCACAAAATCAAATCAACCATTCTCTTTTACAAAGAAAACAAGTAGAGTAGGATTAAAAGCAAAGCTTTCACACTCCACAAAATTGATTAGCTTGACCCAACTATCATCAATCTCGCCTACTTAATCAATCTCGGTCTCCATCTTATCCAACCACGTTTTTGATAGGATGTGTATCAAAATAATCTCAAGCTTTGACTCTCCATCCAACATTTGTATATACCTATGTTGCATGGAAACTCTCTTCGAGGTCCGTTTCCCGTTTCTGAAACGTTTCGGAAACAGAAACTCTTCGGAAACACGAAAAACGTCACGGAAACGCGTTTCCTAAAAATCTATGTTTGGAAACACAATGGAAACTCACGTTTCTAAAATGGAAACGCGACAAATCCTTTTTATTGACTTTGGAAACTTTATAAATAAAAGTTAAAAAGATTAAGATTTATAGAGTAATACATATCACTAATTTTGGAAGACTCTGAGTTTTAAGATTTTTTTATCGACAAATTAGATTTGGAGGCATCTTTATATGATCTACGATGAAACTAATGAAAATGAGAATGAAAATGTTGGTCTAAATTAAATATTTGAACTTGAACCTTTTAATCTTTTTTTCTTTTAGAATTTTAGTTAACCTATTTAGTATTTGATGTTTTGGACTTGTATTGTTTAATTAAACTATTTTTATAGTTTTATGTTAATGTTATATATATACATATATTATATATGTGTATACGTTGCCAAAACGTTTCCAATCCCTAATTTTAGAAAAAATCGTTTCCCGTTTCCAAAACGTTTCGCTTCCACGTTTCCGTTTCCGTTTCCATGCAACATAGGTATATACAACCTAATCCGGATCTTCTTCTTCCAATCACCATTTCTTCTTCTTGATTTTTTTCATTTTCCTCATCTATTTACTTATTCTTCCCGCATAGAACACAACCAAGAGAGAGAAAGATGAATATTGAAGATAGGGGTAAAAGAGTCTAAAATTGTTGTACAGTATATGATAAAGTTGGAGAGGAGAGATAACTAATTTCTCAATCTTCTATTGGTAGTTCTTCATAATATCCATTAAAATATTTATAGAGTGCATATTTATAGAAATTTTATTAATACTTTTGATTATTAAAATTTAAGTTAAATACAACCAAAAAACTAAATAATATGAATGAATATTATATATAATATGTGTAGAATATTAAAATATTAATATTCTATTAATGAGATATCTTATAAATATCTTATTAGGGAGATGCTCTTATTATTTTTAAATAATGTAATTAAAAAAATTCTAAAATTAAATAAATATCATTAAACTCACCAGGCCACAAAGGATGTGGATCTATTTTTACTTATATATATGGCCCAACAAAATTTTCGAACCCACATATCAGACTCATATCAAAAAATTTATCCCACAATTGCACTATATTAAATTTATACTTAAACTATGTCGTTGTGCTAAAACATACCTCAAATATTAAAACATTTGAATTTTATACATGCATTTTTTTGTTTCGTGCAAAATTATGCATACGCCCCAAATCTTGACTACATGTGCACTTATGTAGATTTGTTTTATGCGAAATAGTAGAAAATTTGACTTTTCATACCTCCACAACTGCAATATGTTAAATTCATACATGAATTCTACTATTGTGTTAAAACATACCCTATATAATCAAATATATAAATTCCAACAAATTTATTTCATTCTTCAGTTTTGGTTTGGTCTTATCGGGTTCAGGCTTCAAATATGAGAACCTATAAATACTGATACCCAAAATATATATGTGTATTTTTTTCATTGATTTGAGTTTAATTTCAAGTATTTTGCTAGATTTTGGATATAGTCAAATACACAATACTCGGAAAATATATCAACTATTCGGATACTCGTCAAAGTAGTCTCCGATTACCGGTTATCCATTCGAGTATCAAGTATAATTGAGTCAAAAGTTTTGGATATTCGGATATCTGTTTGGGTATCAGATAATAGATGCACCTGAACCGATACCCATAGATAAACATGTATAAGATGCAAAAGGGTAATTTGGTTATACTCATTACCTACGTGAAGCAAGTTTTTCAGATCGGTTCGGTTTGGGTTTTCGTATTTGTTTTTTTTGCTCAGGAATATTCCTCACTCGAGAGAAAGAAGAATATAGAACCAAAACAAGTTAGATTCATTTTAGTAATACAATACGGAATCGCTTTAGCTTGTCCTTTGGAATGTTTATTATAAACCGAAACATGAAGTATATGTATGAAATTTAAAATTTTAATTATTTAGCTAGGGTATGTTTTTAACACAGTAATATATAGTTCATGTATGAATTCCACATATTTTTGTTGCACAAGTATGAAAAAAAAATAATTTTCTTTAAAACAAGGCCATGTAGGTGCACACGTTAATTCCACATAGTCGAAATTTAGGGCGCATGCATGAGTTTTGATACGAATACTTCCTAATTTATGATTTAGGAAATAGTTTAGGATTTCCAATATCTTATTTACTTTTCCTAGAGTCTTTTACTTTACGTTCTATTATAAATATGGGTTAGATTTTGTTTGTGAAACCTATCCAAGCAATTGAGAGCTTTGGAGGATTCTATCGGATTAGGCCGAGGGAAGAGAACATAGTTCTCTTTGGGGAGTTTATACTCTTGTTACTTTATTGTTCTATCTTTCTATTATCATAATAAAGATTTTGACTTGAATTGGATTCTATCTCTAACAATTGGTCCGACCTAAGGACGAACGCCTAATGAATGACAAAGACAAGACAAGAAGAACGCTTGGAAGAGTTAGAGAAAAATCAAGAGATGATGATTACAAAAATTGATTGGCTGAGTTCTAAAGTGGATGGATTATTTCTTGAACTTCTTGAGAAACTTTTGATGGCTTCTAATCAAAAGAATTCATTTATAGAGCTGCCTTACGACCCTGCAATATTATCTACGGCCAATAGTACCAATACGAAGCAGCCAAGTGCAGTTGGTGGAGATGACACAAATACGCAGCAGAGTCTTCATGATAAGAATCTATGTTCTATGAAGAAGGTGGAGATGACAAACTTTGATGGTGAACTTCGGGTACAAGCTGTTGGTGAAAAACAACAGGATTTTCATGATGTTCAATTTTCTAAAGAAGTTTCTGAACAACATCGACTCAAGCTTGTTCCTGAAAGTCAACAAGTTTTGAACTATGTTACTCCTAATTCGGCTGCTAATGAGAATGATTCTATCATCACATCTTCTGATTAGTGTGGCATGGGGATTAGTCCAAGAATCAACATGTTC